CGAGCTCAGCCTCGGCTTGCTGCTTGACCCGAGTTCACGCCGCGACACGCCGCTCCATACCGGTTCACAGTCAAACGCTCATCAGGCGGCATAACCCGGCACTTGAGTTTGAGCTGTGGCTCAACGCTTAGAACTCAGCTCCGATTGAGTCGTCTCATTTCGAGTGGAGGGTGAAATAGAATGATATTATGCATTTTTAGAATATCGATTTAAAATTTGAATACTTTGGAAAATCCATNTTATGAATAGCCCGTCGCTCAAATAGTTGGAATCCACGCTCACCCAGCTAAAAAATTCGATTTTGGCGAAAGTCGACTTTCCCTCTGGAAAAACAGAAAATCTGACTCTTTGGCTCGGGGTGAAAAACAAAATTTTATTTCGACTTTTGTCGCGCCTTCGGGGGTTTCATTGGAATCAGAATTGTTAGAAAATACAGAATCAACTTTCACTTGGCGAAAAAATTCAATTTTTTTTTCCCCATTTCTGTCACCTCTGAGAGTTTCATTGGCATCAGGGGGTCAATAAATACAGAATCAACGTTCACTATTTTTTATTTAAACACCGCCTGCAAACGGGGAGATGAGGGTGGCTAAAATATATTCTGCAACCCTGTCTCCTCGTTGGCTACAAATTTCAACCCTCCGCATACATGCCTTCCCCTTCACCCGCTCGTAAAATCACGCGTTCTCGGTAGCATCGAGGAGGANGAAGGTCTCGCGGTGTTACTGTTGATAATTTCTTTAAGCCCAATTTCGGCCGATTAAAATGCGCTGTTCGGGGTTACTGTCTATTTGCGAATAGATCACCAGACAAATTCACCCAAGTGGTTTTCAACATATTATCATGCGGCAATGGCGGGCATGCTATCGGGAATATAGCAAGAAACCATGTCGAAATAGGATAACCAGAGAGAAGTGGATAATGTAGAAAGTGGGATGTTGGTAAGAGCGAAGACTATAAAATCTTTCGAGTGCAATTCAAATCGATTCTAGGAATAGGACCACTGATGACTCTTCTCTCATCAATGATGATATTTTCCAGCAGCGTGTAACTCCTCTATGACAAAATTGGGAATTCCGTCAGATTTCAACGTAAACATGTCTAGAGATTAGAATAGAATTAGAGTAGAATTAATTAGATTAGAATTCTTTAAGGTGAATGTCCCGCTAGCTAACGCTTTAGAGTTAGAAAGAGTCGATGAAAGAACGTGCATAAAAATAAATTCGGTTATATTGGTTATAGAAGAATTATTCTAAAGGATTATCCAACTTTATTTGATCGGAAACAATTATTTCTAGAAATAAAAATACTAAGCAAACATTCAACTAAACGAATTTATTATGTAAGAGCTATGTCCTAGTAGTTGAATCCAAAAAACGTCCATGTCCCAGTAGTTGAATCACAAGTTATTACCACGGAAATCTACACTTAATAATAAAAATCGTTCATTAAAGAATAGATTGGTACGAATATTATGACATATGGATCATCATCATGACATTATGCAAATAGAAAAAACATTCAGTAAGTTTTCTCAATAAAATCACACTCTTCAGATTCCAGTCGGTAGGTGTGCAGACTCTAAAATTTCTCTCTAGAGGAAAAATTTAGTTTGAAGAAAAAAAAATTTCTGAATCACTATCATTTGATGAGTCACCTCTTAGCAGTTGACACTAGGAATCGGACTGAAGGGAGCAATTCAATCGAGTATCAACTTTAATTGTTGAATCGAATTTTTTTTGGGAATACCAACCGCATGGAATTTCTTTCGTTATAATCATTGAAACCCTACGCTTCTTTAAAAAATTAAATATTATCATTTTTAAGAAGAAATAATTACTTATCGAAAGAAATTGGCAATCGGATACTCGACGATTCAGCTATTGGGACTGAGTCAGGTACCGGAACATTGACCTTAAAGTAGTATAAACATAACTTGAATTTTTAAGACGCAAATGTGAAATAAATTCTAAACGGAAGTTGTTATGAACAAAAACATTCTGGTTGAGTTCGGACTCAATTAGCAGTTTAATATTATTGATAATAATTAATTCAGAAGTGACCAAATAATACAGAGTCTTATGAGAAAATGAATTTTTCGCTATTAGGGAGAAGATTGGAATGTAGAAAAAATCTAAAACAACTGGAAAATTGCTCTTGTATAGTATAGTTATTTTTGCTAATAAATTAACAATATGCTACCGAATGGTTATTTTGCACATCATTTCCTTCTATCATGTACAATCAATAGTTTATTTCATTTTAGTAAACTGAATACGATTTCTTTTTAACTAATTTTGTCAGAATTTCAACTTAGTTGAATCTTATGGTCATCATTCTTTTTATTATCCCTTTTTTTCTATCCAACCGATTGTCTTTTTTACGGTTGTCTCTCTCCACTCAGCCCTTTGATCAAATGTTATTGAAAAATTTGATTTATACATACTTGAATGAATTTGCAACAAAACGTTTGAAGAAACCATCAGATTTTTTAATTTCTATTTGGTAAATTTGATATTTCGTGATTTTTTTCCAGTGAATCGAATTTCATGCCACTTTCATAAAAAAAACTATTGAATTCTCCATTAAATTGAGATTTTTTCTACCATCTTCCCGACTTGGTCCAAGTATTGATTTAACTAGAATCAAGCCGAAAATCGGATGGAATCAAGTAAACTATCTGGAAGAGGTAGAATTTCAGTGCGAATCACTGCGTTTTTCAAATTGATTCAAGCCGATTTTTCGGCTTGATTCAAACCGATGTCGACTTGACACGATTCTTCTTGAAATAAACCACTTTTCGACTCACATCAGACCCGGAATTTGGATTGGCGTAGTCCAAGTCACTCGGCTTGCATCCAGCCGAAAATCGACTCCAATCAAGCCGACGTCGACTTGGATTAGTACTTTTTCACCCTATAGCGAGGAAAACTTTCGAGACGAATAGTGAATTTTTATCCGTTAGCCCCGGCAATTTTGCTGAACGTGAGAGTAACTGTGTACCGAAACTGTCAAATTTACCCTATATTTCATAAAAAATTATTCCAGTGAACGTGAATGATTGCGGAATATTGCGTATAGTTATTCTGTAATGGAAAATGATTTTTTGCGGAGCGCATTCGGTAAAATTTCCCTTCCGCTCGTCCCCATGAAAAAATTTTCAGGGAAAATATGATAGTAATTCTCATGAGAGTGAGATTGAATCCGATATTGGTGATAAATGGTTATGAAATTTCAAGTTTTAGGTAGAATTTGCTGAAATTCATGAGTTTTCAGTGGAAGTGAGGTGGAAATTTCATTTCATTCAATTGTAATAAACTTTGAAATTTGAGTATCCAACCGTATATTTGTGCATATAACATTATTTTCCATCAATTGTTCAATAATGAATTGACCGATTTTCTTCACAATGTAGGTGATGTATTATGAACACTGCAAAATTATCAGTTATTTTCCGGTAACTTCGCTACATTGAAAAGGATGTGCCAAATTCCCCTGGAAAATATGATAGTAATTCTCGTGAGATAATTTTGAAGGTCTTAGGGTATTACAACTGATCATTTCTTTTACTCGGATGTTCAGCGATTGGAGTACAGTATTTCGAGTAAAACGATCAATGAAGACGAAGAGCTACTGCGCGATTTCCAGCAGAAATTCCACAATAAGTCTTCATTTGTTGATATTTTCAAATCAAAGCAGTCCAATCGTCTTGAATACTTTCATCAAATTGACTGACATCCGAAAAAAAGAAATAATCAAAATTTAATTATTTGAAAAGGTGTGGGATTTGATGAAATCTTTTTTCAAATGATTCCAATAAGTGTTGTATTTGCAGAATAAAAAAAAGCATTGTATTTCGATAAATTGAGGCATGAGACATAAAGAACTTAGAGATCCAGATAATCTATTCAACAAATTAGTTTATATGCACTTGATGAAATTCAATAAAATCATAGGTGTTCACATAGTAGGAAATTAGCATGAATTTTAGACGGTGATTGCTCTGTTTTCGGTGTAGCACTTCATCATCATATATGCAGTATCACAAGCTGTAGTACCCTCTAAAAGAATCAGAAAAAGAAGCAATATAACAATCGAATTAACAACGGATCCATCATATTATCATCACAATAATTATCACTACAACTCACTTAAATCTTTGCACTTGGTCCAGATTTCATCGACCTTCTCGGGCTTCAACTTCAAGGCCATTCTCTGCCGGGTTATGGTTTCATCCAATACACCATCATCGTTCATCTGTAAGAAGGACAGATTGGCATGGTGAAATCAATCACACTTGTCAGTAACAAATCGCGTGCTAAATGGAAAAAGCTCGTATAAGCCTAATCTAGGGAATATGAAATCTGGACGATTTGGGCTTTGCAGAATTATTTTTACTCAACTTTCGACGACAGATTTTTTTGGCGCATACGACCTTTTTCCACAAATATTTCTCCAGTAGTCAAAAAATGGAAGAAAAAATTGACTATTTTCTCTTCATTTTTCTGATATTCAGTCGTACTTTTGAAAAAATGAACAATATGCTTGAGAAATTTCTATTGGAAAAAAACTTGTGGAAAACGGTCGTATACATCTGAAAATAAAATTGTCATCAAAGCTGGGTTAAAATGATTCTAAAGAACCCACATCATCCTCATTTCATGTTCCGTAAATTAGGTTTATACGACCTTTTTCCACTTCGTTGACCTAAAAATCCCAAAATGGTCAATGCGACCTTTTTCCACTTAGCACGCGAAATAATCAGAGAAATTCAATAAGCAAAGGAAATACAAACCATGCCCACTTTCTTCATCATACACAGGGTGAAACAACGGAGTTTAGGGTTGTCAGCCCATTCGCCCTTATAGGCCTTATCAACGTCAGCTGTAATTATAATAGAGATGTAGAGAATTATTTGAAGTTCTGAACATTCAGTGGTACCGTGCATGTTCACTAGCAGAAAAAAATAATTTTATCAAAGGAATTCTATTTGAGTCAATTATAATTTGGTTGTTAATTTTCAAATAAACATGTTTTATAGTGAATACCAATTATCTGTTCTTGAGACACATTTGATTGGAGAAATCGAACTTTTCTAGAATTGACGTTCCTTTTATTTGTTGCAATAATGAGAGTATTTGATTTCTTTCTAGCCAAAAGTTTGCCAACTCCAAAAATTCGTTGGCTTACTCAAAAATCAAAATTATTCTCATGACTAAATCGTTGTTATCTCAATCAACATGATCATACGTTGTTTCAAATAAATTATAATTGAAGTGAGCATTTCGTATGTCGAATCAGAATGTATATTGTTACGTGGAAAAAGCTTTGAGATTGTAGTGAGATGTCGTTAAGTTGAAAGAAGTTTATATTTCTTGACTAAAAAAATCCCAATAGTTTACAATAACATCTGTGATTCATAGATTATGGTAATTCTACACGAACTTAGAAATCACAAATTTCGTTCAATGTGATGTACGGGAAGCTCAATCTAAACATCGGCTTCATTCGAGAAAACAACATTCAATTCATTCCTCAATGTAATCATCTCCTAGTGATGAATTTTTTTATCAATCCATGAAAGTAGAAAATTTCTCGACTGGAGATTATATTACGTTAAAAAAATAGAACTTTTCCATTTTTGCGGTGAATCCGTATGAGTTGATACCAAGGACTATTATTATATATATTTGATTCGAGTAAATGTATCTTAAGAAGAAATGACTGATATTCACTGTAAAATCTTATTCATTTGAAATTGGTTCAAGTATATAGTACTTGTTCCAAAAAAGAAACATTGCAATAAATATAATTTTTTCTATCAGTGTACGAGTTTCGGACCGTAACAGATTAGATGTGCTGAACAGGTTTTGTACATGTTTAATAAGGTGTAAAAACGGATATATTAGAGTCCTCTCATTAATTACTTTGACTTTATCAAAAATAATAATAAGTGAAGGTAAAAGTTAATGCATTCATCAGAGGAACATCAATGATTTTTGAAAATTCAATTTGAATGCTCGAGTTTGCCAAGCTGGTACATCCGTAATGATAGAATCATTCTAGTTAATTAACTAATTTTACCTCTGTCAGCACCTGTCTCCGTCACGCAAGCATCTCTGTGCTCCCTGAGTTTCTGCTTTTGGGCGTCAGTCAACTCTTGGGCCTTCAAACGTAATTGAAGCGAAATTAATAGGACAATCTTATGTGAACCAAACATTACTAAACAAATTCAAATTCAATGAATAGTTTAGTCATACTTTTCAGGAGAGGGACATTTAATTCGATTTAGGTTGGAGAAGCATCATGAAAGTGAAAATTTCACAGCAGATTCAATTCGAATTGTGTGCAAGACAAAATTTTCCCAACTTGTTTGAATAGTCAATCAAAATATTAGAATTTAGTACTAAATTATGTTGGCTTCTTAATTCATTGAAAATTCCAGAATCTAATAATCTGAAATTAAAATTCATTTTCATGGAATAATTGAGAAGTTTGCAGCTTCCATTGCTTTTTCCATTAGAATGGAATTTTTCAATGTCAAAATTCGTGAAAATTGTAGTGGAACTGCCAATTCATAGATATTGGCAACAAGTGTATAGGAAATTGAAGCCAAACATTTTTGTATACAACGTTTGATGATAATTATTATTTACCAGAGCACCAACGAGACAGATGAAGAAGACAATCACGAGGAATTTCATGTTGACTTTTTGGTTTGTTACAGGTTTCGGAGGATAGAGCAAGTTGTAAAAGCGTGCTGATTACTGAATATTGTCTCCAGACTGCTCCGTCTTTATATACGCCTGCTGAAGTGGTCGTCCATATGCAGCGTGATGATTTCTTATGTTGTGAAGGTCGCGTCAAAGAAGCTAATACAGTGGGGTCGTGAAGTATTTGATCAGTAAGCATTGTTGTTTTTCAAATAAAAGAAGAATGACCGGTGGCAAGAGGGGTATCAGTCTGTCGAGGCAATATAAGCTAATTTCAACTCAAGATTAAGGGGCTTAGTCACAGGCGAGATCCAAATACCATCACCTACAGAAAAAAAAATTTGAATGGGAGATCGGAAGATGAATAATTTAGTATCCAGCGATACCAATGTCAGATAAATCATGCTTCTCATTCGCGAAAAAGATTACCAATTCAAAAAAACTAAGTTTTTTACTCTCAGCGTTTGTCTTGGCCATTGTTCTACTCTCACTGGGAAGGAAAAATTAATGTTAAAAAATTACTTTAAAATATCCCAATGAATGCATCCGTTGAGGAGTCTTCTCCCACCCCTCAAGAATGCTTTTCTGAAAAAAGAGGCTTTTACTTGTTGAGTACACTGTTAAAAAAATTGTAGACTTTGGAAGAAAAAAATTGTAGACTTTGTAGAATTGTTTTTCAGATACACTGTTAGAAATTTTTCGAAATTCCATGGAAAATGTGGTACTAATTCTCATGAGAGTGACATTCAATCCGATTTATGGGGAAAATGGTTCTGAAATTTCAAGTTTGAGACAGAATTCAAGGAAATTCATCAGTTTTCAGTGGGAGACGAAAGTTTTACAACTTGATTGAATTTTCAATGGAACATGAATATTCAGAAACAAAATGACGTAAATTTTCATTTTTCCCTGAATTTTCCAGATTTTTTCGAATTTTCGCGGAATAATTGAACTCAAAAATCAAGTATTTTATTGATTTTCAAATCAGTTGAATAGAAAATCAATAGAATATTTGATTTGTCAATGACGAGATTTCCTGAAATTTCAGTGAAAATGAAGCATGATAAAAATTTCCGAGATTTGTTGGAGAGTTGCAAAACAAAGGCAGAGTTAGAAACTTGATTTTTGCTTTCGAATGGAAGCATTGCAGTGGTTCAAAATTAAGTCTACAATTTTTTTCACCAGACTAACTAATGCAGTCTGCAAAACCCGAATATTCAATTGACAGTTGATGAAGTCTCCCGTGTGAGGTCATTTTTTTTTAATTTTACTAGAAGGTATGTATCATGAATTTTCTACTGAAAATGTTATGATTTTTTAAAATATGCACCAAAAAAAACTAATTTCAATTTGAGACTTACGATTACTTAATTTTAAATTAAGTCCTGAAAATTTCAACTTGAGATTTTCGAAAGTCTCAATTTAGAATCTTTGAAATCTCAAAATAATTTTTTTTTCTGTGCTGGGTGTAGATTTCAACGAATACGATCTCTTAATATGAATTAAAATTCAATTCATCATCGACTCAGATAATCATTATTGAAAAGATTCAATCATAACTTCCAAAGTTTACGACAATGCACTGATAGAAAGGATTACTTATAGTTAGCAAATGAATTTCGTTGAAGGCTAGAGTGTATCCGGTCTCACCAAATGTTCATTCGTTAATAGTTGGCAAGCAGAATACCAAAAAATTGGCGAATGTACCACGATGACATCGAATACCACAATTCCATTTATCGCAATGGTGATCTGTGAAATAATTTTTTAACCTGCAAAACTTGACACCTTCCTTTGTTTACAACGAAGTTATCGGTAAATCTTCGAAAATTTTGAAGCTCTTGGGGTATTACTGCTGATAATTCTCCAATTGATATGAATTTTCAATGAAAACATGAATATTCAGTGCTAAATTACCTTAAATTTTCAATGTATTGAAAATTTACGAATATATTTTTAAAATTTTATTGATTCCTACTCATTTTTATGGTATTGAGGTCAAATTTACAGTTCTCTTTGATTCTTCCATTAAATCCAGAATTTTCCGTGACGAAATTTTTTAAAATTTCAGTGGAACTAATATGTGATAAAAATTTCCAAGAAGTGTAAGGGAAATTTCAACAAAAATTTTCTAACAGTGTACAGCAAGCCGTAATTTTTTCTCCGAATTGGGGAAATAATAGCCCGCAGTATGGACTGTTATTTTCTGATATAGGTGATTTGAAAACTAGTAATTATTTGAACCTGGAATCTGATTTTTTCCGTGCTCTCGCAGTTTTTACGTACTGGAAATTTACTGAGAGAATTTTTCATGGTGTGTTTACATGGCTGAGAGATTAATATTCATTTATCTTGAAACTAAAGAATTATCGATAACCTCTAGAACGTGAACCCTAATAAATGCCTCATTGCAACAATATTATAATTGATACATCACTCGAACGAAGTTTAACTGAAGTTTTCTTGAGTTACATTTAAAAAAACAGATGTAATATTACTATTACATCTGTAATATTATTAGTAATATTATTATGTAATAAAATACGCACACTTCATGCGTATTTTACCTCCATCTACCTGAGTAGAAATTTAAATCCGTCTGAAATAAGAAACTAATCCATAAAAACCGATTTTGATCAGTTTTGGATCAGAACAATTTCTTGGCCATTTTTACGGTCATTTTTATTTTATTTCTTCAGTTCTATTCTCAATTTAAGGATATGGGATATACAAGGAAAGAAAAACACCTAGTTTTGTTCAAGTTTTTCACTTGCGGTTTCCTTATAGAAAATAAACATTATCAATTGGAATCGGATAGTTGAAGGTTGAAAAAATAGTATTCGTCCAATAATTTACGTTTATATGGAGGAACGTCTGGAATACTCGTACACCCCGTGTGAGGATATTAGAATTAATATATGGAGAAAAAATTAGCTCTGCCAAAAAACTAGATGTTCCACAGGAGAATATTTAGTGAAGTGAAACAAATTTACTTAAAGGAAATTAACCAACTTGATAGAAAGAAGTTTAGTAAAATACTTATGAAAGATATTAATCTTTCACAAAAATGAAATTTTTGTCGCGATCATCAGAAATATCCCTAAAAGAATTTGAGCTGTTGGCAGGAAAGAATATAATCTATTGCACGACAATCATTTGATCGGAGAGAACTCCGTAGATTTACACCATAGAAAATCATAAGCTTTGGAGATTTTTTTTTCCAAAAAAAATTGTCTCCTCGAAACTATTTAGTTTTGCCAATAACACAGTTTTCGAAAGAAAATTGTAGTTTCCTCCTGAAATTATCATTTGTTCCATGGAAATTATAAGTGTTTATGGGGCATAGATGTACGCTGCTCAATAACATTCACTCGATGAAATTGAAATCTGTAAAATTGAATTCTCTGTAGAACGAATGTATGTACCCGAAAAACATGTAAATGTCTCACGAGAATAATTACTACTCCGTAAATTATCATGTTTTCAGGGAAACTTTCTTTTTCCTTCCCAAAAAAATTGATTCAACCGACAAAACATTTATTTGGAGAAACCTATAATTTTTCGAACGAAAAAATATCGTTACCACCGCATCGCATTCCGCTCGGGTGGTAATTCCGCATATGGCCACGACTCATTTATTTTCCCTGCCTGGGTTAGAAATATGATATTTGGGCAGATCTAATTTTTTCTCTCAGTGTAGTATTATAGCGCAAAAAAACTTCCCGGGGATGAAAACAGTATATTTAGATACGATTGCAAACACTTTTCCCACGAGTGTCAAACCCTATTTTTCATCACGTGTGAAAATTGGGATTTTGCGCACGTGAAGCGTGCATAAAATTTCACTTTACGCACAAGTGATGCACAAAGGAATGAGGAACACAGCGAGAAAATTGTAGAAAAATTACGATGCCACTATGTAGATGCAACATGCCTGCTTTGTCACGCACGTAACATTCAATAGAAAACCTAGCGAATTCGCTATAAACTTCTATTGGAATTCTATGGGGTTTCTATAAGATTTCTATTGGAATTCTATTGAAAAATTCTATTTGTTTTTTGCGCTGATTCTATTAGATATTCGATAAGAAAGAGTCAATAGATTTCAAATTTCTTTTGGAATTTTTCTCTTGAGATTTTTTCTATGAGAATTATTGGGCACAAGTTTTTTCCGCTGGATTTTGTTTCATTTTGCATTACAGAATCCGAATGGAAACAACTTGTAAAAATGATGCCCAAGTATTCTTACAGAAAAAATCTCAAGAGAAAATTCCAAATAGAAATTCGAAATCTATTGACTTTTTCTTATCGAATATCCAATAGAATCAGCACAAAAAATAAATAGAATTCTCCAATAGAATTGCAATAGAAATCCCATAGAAAAGCCATCGAATACCTACAGAATTCCAATAGAATTTTCTAGCGAATGCGCTAGTTTTTCTATTGAATTTTTTCATGCGTCGTATCACTATAGTCATTCTTCATTTACTGTTCAAATTGACGCAAATTGGTAATGTTTTGCCGGGCCCTGTCGATCGACTTATTTCCGACGGTCCAATGACCATAAAGAGACACGTCATCTTCTTATTTTGTATGACTAGTTGTTATATAAATTATTCAATTCTGATTAGCGTAATCTAAATACTCCATGAATCATGTGATATTGTATAAGCGTATTATTCGCAGTTAATCAATTGGGATATCTCCAAGCGTAGCCGCACAGACTAGGCTGACTCAATACCATCTTTTCAATGTCACTAGCTCAACTGCGGAAATTAATTTGAAAATACTCCATCTTTTTTATTCATAACATTGTGTGAACATTATCACTCAATTAATCGGAATATTCAGGAAGGTGGAGCAGTGGATCATGAAGTGAATCCAAGTGAAGGAAGGAAAGAACAGATGAGGTGTAAATATTATGCATTGTTACTATGCACATTGACCTTGTTGTTCTGAAGCATACGTATACGTCGTAGATTTATTTCATTTTATTCAGCGAGCCTGGGCAAAGGATGTAGCCGTGTCCTTGAGGCAGGAAGAAAACATGGACTTACATTCTCAAAATACTGGAC